CTCAGCCAGTGAGCGAACCGGCCATCCCTATGTGGGATCCGAACCCGGGGCCTTGGTGTTATCAGCACCGCACTCTCCCGAGTGAGCCACGGGCCGGCCCCTGAGAGAGTAGTTTAAAGAACACCTGTATACTCTTAACCCAGATTCACCAGTTGACATGTTTCATTATGTGCTTCCCCTCGTGCACTCTCTTGTGTTAGCGAGTGTGTGCACTCTCTCTATGCATATGTATACGTATATACACACACACACACACACACAGAGTAATTTTTTCCTTGAACCATTAGAGAGTTGCAGACATCATGCCCCTTTACCTCAAAACACTTCAATTTGTTTTTTAAAAGAGAAAGGGCGTTCTCTCTTATAACCAGAATACAATGATCATATTTGGGGAAATTAAATTTGTTATGATACTATCATATAACACTAGTCCTTATTCACATTTGCCATATTATCCCAATAGTGTTTTTATGGTAATTTCCTCCCTGTTCCAGGATACAAATCAGGATCACACATTGTATTTAGTTACAGTGTCTCTTTAGTCTCTGTGAATGTGGAATATCTGCTCAGTCTTCATCATGACATTGATATTTCTGAAGAGAACAGGCCCGTTTTTTTGGAGAATGCCCTCAATTTGGATTTGTCTTATATTTTCTCATTGTTAGATCTACGTTGCACATCTTGGCTAGAATACTGTTGCTTTGCCTCCCACGTATTTGTCACCCCTTTTCCCCTGGGTGACGGAGCCGCCAAAGATTACTCAAAGCCCATCCCTTTTGAGCAGTGAGAAGCCCCAGAAAGGGGTTAATCTCCCGGAACCCTCAAGATAGAGGCATTCCTTCCATTTAGGAAATTAACCACAAATTGGGGTTCTCTTCCTGCATTTATTCTCCAGACCAAGAAGTTATAGGAAGAGACATAGGTGGGGTTTTGCTAAGTACAGTTTAACAAGTTTTACAATAGAAGCTGGTAACATTCAGTAAAAACAAGTCAGATGACATTCTGTTAGGCAATTAAGTGATCCACTAACAAAGGCTTGATTTAGCTGACATTCCTTTTCCCTCTAGCAGCTTTTTAGTAACTTTACGTGTATCAATTAGTAACTTGTCTGTCTTAGAACCAGCAGCCTTGCTGTGTTAAGATTCTTATTTTGCAACAGAGACTCAATGCCCTGGGGGAAATTTCCTGTCATTTGCAAGGTCAATATTTGAAACTGCAAGGCTTTGGAAAACCAGGCCCTATGATATACATTTGCTTTATGAATCCTCTACAGAATACCACAGAGGTTATGCTGTGTGCTCCTCAGTGCATCACTTCAGGAGGCACATGATAATGGTTTGTCCCATTACTGATGAGGTTACAAGTGGTATCTGTCAGATTCCTCCACTAGAAAATTGCCATTTCTCCCTTGTAATTAGTAATGATCTGGGGGAGACATTTTGAGACAGTGTACATATTCCTCATTAAGTTTTCACTCACTAGTTTAAGCATCCATCTGTTTTTAATTTTTCCTTTTCTGGGCAGAGACCCTCTGCCTGCCCTGTCTGCCTAATTTGCTGCTATATCCCCAGCATGTAGAGCAGGGCCTGGCTCTTGATAGGTGTGCTGTTCATATTTGCTGAGTGAGTGAATGTTTCTTTCTTTTTGTGGGGGTGGGTTATATTAGTCTGTTTCTGTTGCTTATAACGAAATACCTGGAACTGAGTGATTTATAAAGAAAAACAAAATTTGTTGCTCACAATTTCTGAGACTCGGAAGTTCAAAGTCCATCTGGTGGTGGTGACAGTGACCTAGGGGTTTCACATTGCAAGATGATGGAGGCAGAGAGAACAGAGGGAGAGAAAGACAGACTCTCCTCTTCTTTTAAAGCCCTCAGTACCACACCCCTGACCACCGTTTTTTTTTTTTTTTTTTCCCCAAAAGATAACCGGTAAGGGGATCTTAACCCTTGACTTGGTGTTGTCAGTACCACGCTCACCCAGTGAGCGCACGCTCACCCAGTGAGCGAACCAGCCACCCCTATATGGGATCCGAACCCGTGGCCTTGGTGTTATCAGCACCGCACTCTCCCGATCTCCCGAGTGAGCCACAGGCCGGCCCCTGACCACCGTTTTTAATCCATTCACTACTACATGGTCCTACAATCCAATCAGCTCTTCAAGGTTCCACCTTTCAATTACCATAATAGGATTTCCCACCCTCTTAACAGTCACAGTGGGGACTAAGTTTCTAATACATAAAACTTGAGGGACACAATTCAAGCTTCAGTGAGTTTTGGGGGGACATAATTCAATCCACTACAGGGGGGCAGCTTGCTTGTACGGGGATCTGAGCCCTTGACCTTGCTGTTATCAGCACTAACTCTAATGAAGTGAGCTAACTGGCCAGCCTGAATGTCTCTGTCTTACTTGCTGCTTCTTTAAAGGATCAGATTGGGCTTGCCTGTGTTCTTCTGGGGAAATCCTTAACTGCTATTCAGTCTAGTTCCCACGAGGATGCCTTTTTAATGTGAATCTTTTGTCTCCAGGCCTATGTCTACATTCAAGGACAAGACATGCACCCAGTAGTGACAGAATATCAAGGAGCCTCTTTGGAGTGTCAGAGCCTCCAGCTCCTTCCTGGGGTAACCACCCTGAAGTGTGAACTGCCACAGCTTCCCCAAGAGAACACCCAAGAAGTGAGTGGTAAGTGCCAGAGGGTGCGTTTAGTGATGACACCAGGAGCAGGCCTTTGACAGGTGGACGGTTTTCTTAGTAGAAGCTTGATTGTATCCTCAAGTTTTTGTTTCTTGTTTTTGTATACGTTATGAAATGATTACCACAAAGGTTACCTCACAGTTTCTGTGTGTGTGTGTGTGTGTGTGTGTGTGTGTGTGTTTGAGATCTACTCTCTTAGCAAATTTCAAGTAGTAATACATTATTATTTACTATAGTCACCATGCTATATATTAGGTCTCAAGAACTTTGTATTTATATTTTAACATCAAATTTTTGTTTTGTTTTGTTTTGTTTTTTGTCTATCCCTTTTAAACAAGCTTTTAAGAACATTAGAATTGTAAAATGTTAGAATTCTGAGATCTTCTTATCTAAGACCCTCAATTTATAGTTAAAAAAAAAACCCATTCAAAGAGTTTAAATGACTTGCCAAGGGTCAACAGAGTCAGAGCCAGTTCTAGAATTTAAGTCTCCTGACCTTTGACCAAAACTCTCTCTTTACCCTATGCCTCTATTTTACATTTTTAATTCTACACCTGTGGGTGTTTTAAATATTTATTTGGTAGCTTTTCATAAAGTTATTCTTTTCCGCATGGTAGCATTTTCTTCTGTATCTTCCCTGCTTCTAATCTTTCAATTGTTTTAAATACAGTTTTAGGTTTACATAGGTTCTCTCCTTCCTTCCATTTGGAGTTACTCTGCTTTGTGCAGGGTTCTGTCCTTTTCCATACCGTTCGCCTCCAGATAAAGCATCCCAACTACTGGTTATGTTTCAGCTCATTCTATTCTGGCAGTAGAATGAGCCAAGCGAAGGATGCAAAATCTGTGGTCTGCAGTCAACAGACTCATTGTGGAGAGCAGGCAAAAGCACACAAAAAGTTCAAAGAGGAGACCGTAGAACTCCATAGAGGAATATTTTTAACCTTTGTGGGGAGGGGTGCTACCATTTTTTCCCAGAATTTGTTGGATGCTATTGATTCTCTTCCCTAGGAGACATGTGCACATAAAAGAATTCCACAAACAATTTCAGAGGATTGATTTACCAATCACCATATTATTGATCTGTAAATATTGATAGTAAGTGCAGAATAAATGGTTCATATAATAAGTGATATGAGAATGTTAGAGGGAGATAAAACAAGATGTATAGGGCTCAGATTATTTGTGTTATTTATCCACTGCAGCATAAATAGAACTTGATATTTCCTTACCTTCATAGCTGATGGTTCTATTATGTTTCTCAGTTACAAAAAACAACCACTGTATGAAGCCCCAAGTGTTTTATTTATGTGAAGAAGTTTAGAGGTGGTAGGGAGCCATATAGTTAGGAGTTTGGTAAGTTTTCCTGAGGGGTGAGCCTGGCATTGAGCCTTGAAGGATGGCAGGATTTGGAGTGGGCCAGAAAGGGGATAAGCATTCTTAATTACCTATGAGATGATGAATATATATCTGCTGGAAGCGGTTTTATTTCATCATGATTGGAGAAGGGGGAGGGGCAGTGAAGAATGGAGGTGAGTGGTTGTCAAAAGATGATGGCAATTGACAGAAAGGTAACAGTGGTCATAGGATATAAGATTCTCTAATGAAAGTGAAGGATTAAAAAACCGCATGAGGGCCGGCCCGGTGGCGCACTGCTACAGTGCGCCACTTGGGAGCGCCGCGGCGCTCCCACCGAGGGTTCGGATCCCACATACAGACCGGTTCCCGCTCACTGGCTGAGCGAGGTGTGGGTGCAACACTGAGGGTTGCGATCCCGTTGCCGGTCCCGGTTCGGTACGGGTGCGACACTGAGGGTTGCAATCCGTTGCCGGACACGAAAAAAGACAAAAAAAAAAAACTGCATGAGATGGCTCAGAGAGCTGGACTCCAGCATTCTCCTGGGCAGAGGGCTGGCTTCCCTTGGCCCTCTAAGACCCCCATGAGGATGCACCCTGCAGTGGTATGTGTGATGGGGATAAAGGTACTCTCTGGCCCTTCAGGAAGCATGTTTTGTTTTTCTCAATGGCTTTTTATAGCCTCTTAGCCCCTCCTCCAGAGACTCCAGGAAGGCTTTATTTTGCGAGGTTGACCAGCATGGAGATTGGAGGTAAGGGTCTGCCTTCCTAGTAGTTATAACCTCAGTACATTTCTCCAGGTTACCTGAGACCAGGTGAACCAAAGATCAGTTTCCCAAGCATAACTGCATTCCCTTCTCCTGTGCTGGTATCTTCAAGGGATAGTAAGTCAACTACCATGGCTAGAGGGTAGGGTTTATTTAGAGAAAGAGTGGGTGGGGAAAATAGCTCAGTTGGGGCCATATTACAGAGATCTTTAAATTTGAACCAAGAGGTTTGGACTTTATCATTAAAAAGTTGGGTGCCCTTGAAGTCTTTTACCAAAAATATGGTTTTCAGTGAGTGTGTTATTTGTGTGTGTGTGTGTGTGTGTGTGTGTGTGTGGTATTTCATTCTCCCCTGTCATGAAATACTAGATTTAAAGTGAAAACTCCCGAATATTTTTGTCAGTCTCTTAATGTCCAACTGTGGTTGATTTTTAATGTCAGGCAAGTTGCTAAGTGTTTAGATATGTTGATGGAGAAGTAGAGGGATCTTGAGATACTGTCTGGTTTATTGCAACTTAAGCCCATTTTCTCCTGTTCTGTTTTTGGCAGAGATGTAGACCAGTGGATCGGTGGTGTTTGTAATGAACTTTTATGTGCTTGAAAACTTTCCTCTGCCTTCCTCCCAGCCTTAACTCTAATGCTCTTCTACCTCAGGAGCATGATAAGGTGCAAATACAACGTCTGATCTGATCTGATCTGCTCTCAAGTTTTCTCTTGCCTTTGATATCTTTCCTCTCTTTCCTCATTCATTATATCTTTTACCCCTTTTCATTTTCTGTTGACACCTTGTCTCTTCTCAACTTAGCCCTTTTTCTATCAGCAAACCTGATTTGTTTTACACTGTGCCTTTTAAGCTGTTTGGTTTAGCACAGTGGAGAAGTATGTAATAACAGTGAATCAGGGGCAAAGCTCTTTTTTCCAGCAAGCTTTATTACTTCTAGAAATGAAACAACAGCAACAAAAAGATTCCATAGTGATCCATTGTGTCCGGAGCAAAAGAAAGCAATGCTATGCTCTGTGTTATATTTTGGGTTAGAATTATCACATGTGCTCTTCATGTGGTCATTTTGTGCTACTTCTATAGTTGCCTATATTGAAAAGTAGTAATATATTGCCTTGTGTGAGGTCTTGTAGTCCATAGAGGGCTTTTGTATGTGTTATCTCATTTAATGTTGTTTAACCCTGTAAAGTGGATTGTGATCTCCCCATTGCACAGATAAGGAATCAGAGGCTTAGACAAACTGCGACAGGCCCAAGACCCCACAGCGGTAACTATAACCCAGTTCTTTTGATATCAGATCTAGTTTATATCTGCGTTCTATTTCCCTAGTTAATCTATAAACACATTGAAAACAAAAACCGTAGCTTGTTCCTTTTTCCTTTGCACCAAGTACACTGTTGTACATACAGTCAATGCTCAGTTAATGTTTGCTGATTGTTTTTAATTCCTGCAGAATTTAGGTCTTCTCCTCACTTCCTTCAGGTGTCCTGTAAGGCTGTTTTCTGGCCTTAATTCTTCCCCTGCCCAGCTCTCTACTTGTCAGCTCTGTCAGTGGCCTTGTTGTCAGGCAGTTCCCTACTCATATTCAAATATTTTAGAGCTGTGTCTTCCAGAAAGTCCCACCCTCACCCCCACCCATGGCTGGACAATTGAAAGAGAGGAGTATGGCCTTGTTACTGAGTAAGGGCCTGCTGCCTGGTGCCATAGAAGCCAATACCATGGCACTATTTTTTGAAAAAAGAAAAGGCTTTATTTTGCGAGGTTGACCAGCATGGAGATTGGAGGCAAGACTCTTATATCTGTCTCCCTGATCCAGGGGCTGCCAGGCTTTTAAGCAGTATTTGGTATCCCCAGTTGGCTAACTCCCAGTCTGGCCATATTGAGGGGGCATTAGTGGATTGGATGTTTCCAGTCAGGCCACATGCGTTAAGGAGGCAAGGGCTGATTGGCTGATAAGTCAAGAACTGATTGGTCGATTCTGATTCCAGTCCATTGGTAGAGGATTTTCAGGTTCCTACTGTGCCCCAGGTCATCTGGAGGGTAAGGTCCTCCTGCATGTGCTCAGCTTGCACCGTGCAAGATAACTTTGAAATAACTTGAGAGAGGGAAGTAAAACTAGTTTCAGCTAATTTTAGACAGTTTCAGCTACTCTGAGAATTTCCGAATTTCTGAAGACACCACTGTTCTCCTTAGAGGTGAACCTTAAATACAAAAATTAATAAATGAAACATGCCTAACCATAGTCTCATAAGACAAGTAAATCCTAGCTCTGATTTTGTAGTATTTCAGGTGCCTCTTCTTAAATCAAGGTGGTTTGTGAAATTACTCCCTCTTATTATCCAAGGAATAGATAATGTTGTCTTGAATTTTAGATACTTAAGCATTAGAGCAATTTTAGGAGGAGAAAACGGTGGCATGAGTGTTTTGCATTGTGATACAATATTTTGGCATCTGAACAACTTTGACCCCTGCCTTCATTCTGCATATCTCAGGAGCAGGCCAGTGTTTTGCTGGAGGCCAGTAGCCTTGGGCCTTAGCTCTTAGCTTCTGTTGGAATTAGAATTTTTCACTTTCTGCACTGAGTAGACCAGAGCTGTGCCTTGTGTACCATTCCTGGGGCTGTGGGAACATGTTTGCCTTTGTGGTGTGGTAGCCACTGCAGCCCAGATATTAGGATTGTCCTTTGTGATAGAAACCAGAGAGCAGTGTGTTCTGAGGGTAGTGTGAACTGGGGACCTGGAAGAGCCATTTTGTAGCACATATCATCCCCCTATTCCTGGCATCCTACGACTGAGAGAAGCAGCATCTCCCCAAGCTTCAGCACAGGAGGAAAAGAGCCCAGAAAGAAGAGTTACAGTGGAGGGGAAGGACTTCTAGAGGTGTGAATCCCAGATCTGCCACCTGCCAGCTGTGTGACCTGGGCAACTTATTTATTTATTTAATTGAAATGCAATTGATTGTACATATTTGTGTGGTGCAGAGTTGTATACAGTGTGCGACGATCAAGTCGGGATAATTAGCATATTCATCATTACAAAACGTTTCATTTTTTTGTGTTGAGGATATCTCACTGCACCCTAACCAACTGAGCTAAATGCCAGCCCCCCTGGCCACTTACTGAATTGGTCATTGAATTGGTCAGTCAGTCAACAACAGTGGCCGGCACCGTGCAGTCATCACCACTATTTTGATTATTGTTGGTAACATGGCAGATTCCCAAAGGTTCTTCTAGCTGGTGGCCAACTTCTCTTTATTTTTTTTGCACCTTTATTTTCTTTCCTCTCTCTTACTCTTCCTCTTTTTGGCTTTCCTTTTCCCCCTTTTCCTCATATCTCTACTCTTCACATCTTTTCCTTCATCTCTGTGTTCTCTGCTTGATCTTTCTGTTATCACAAGCCTCTTACTCCCCCTTCTTTATTTTCATCTATGACTTTTAATTTTTCTTTATATGTGTAAAAGTGCATCTGTAAAGCACATTATGAATGTATAAGCCTCACTCAATTTTATGGGTTGAAGACCATAAAGTTTTAGAATTTTAGAATTCCTGACAGAATGAGAACAGTCCTGACGGTCTATTTTAGATGATAAGATCTTAGTTCTTGGAAGTTTAACAAATACAAGTTTAGGGGTTAGGGGTGCTGGGTGCCTATCAAAGGGCACACCTGAAGGCCATTCTATCTCACATAGGACTCTTGTCTCCTCTTTCTACAGGGCCTGCTCCCCAGGAACCAGCCCTTCCTCAGGAAGAAAGCCCCAGGGACAAGATAGCAGCACCTGAGTTTAACCCAGCTGGATCCCAGGTAAGCAAGGTGCCCAGGCTGTGGGAGCTTCAGCAGCAGCCTCCTTCTCCCTGACCACCTGTTCTTTGCCTTTCTCTTGGCTCACAGTCCTCACCCTGAGAGCCTTGCGGGTGGCACAGTTTCTCTGTGTTCACTATGTCACAGAATATCACAGACCATGTGTGCATCAACTGAGGAGCTCATATTGATTACATACTATTTATTGCCTTGTTCATACCATGTTTAGGAGGCAAGTCCAAATCTCAAGGTATGGGAGTAAAGGGTGGAATTAGGCCCCTGGTTTCAGAAAGTACCTCCACTCATTTAATGCTAAGTGACCGATGTTTTGTCTTTTGGGATCTCTGGGTTTTTCTCCCCAGCCTGAGAACCAGGACTCTTTCCTCACACTCTTTTATATTCTCAGTGTTCAGCACATACCCAATTAATATTTGGTGATGATAATGGAAATTCTGTATATCCAAAGCAAAAACTTCACATCTTCTTTGCAAAATGGACTCTTGTTTTTTTTTTTCTTATTCTCTCAGTGGTTGTGTTAGTCCGTTTCTGTTGCTTATAATAAAATATACTTGGAACTGTGTATTTTGTAAGAAAATGAAATTTATTGCTTATGCTTTCAGAGGCTGGGAAGTCCAAATTCCAGGGAACACATCTGGTGAAGGCCTTGGTGATGACAGTGATACAGGGGTCTCACACTGCAGAATGGAGGAGCAGAGAGAGAGAGAGACTCTCACATGCTCTCCTTTTAAAGACCTCAGAACCGTGCCCATGACCTAGGGCGTGGTCCTTCCAATCTAATCACCTCTCTTCAAGGCCCTGCCTTTCACTTATCATAATAGGATTTCCCACCCTCAACAGTTACAATTGGGATTAAGCTTCAATGACTCTGGAGGCCATTCAGTCCACTGCAGTGGTTCATTCATTTTCTTAGTCACTTACTTTTTTAAAAAATTAAGTCTTTCCTGTTGAAGTCCTCTTGCACACTGCTGCTACATCAAGATACTGTCTTTGTGGGATCCTGTGCTTGCTTAGTCTTTTTCTGTGCTTTCTAATTGGTTCCTTCAGACTCAATGCCTCCTGTTCTTATAAATACTTTAACAAATACTTAAACAAATACTTAACAAATACTTTACCTTCCTGAAAAGAAATACATAGAAAATAAAACCTGCTTATACACATTTAAAAAATCAACATAGGAGGTTCCAGTCAAGATGGCGGAATAGACAGTTCCTAGTGTCACTCTCTCTCACAAATCAACCAATTTACAACTATGAAAATGTAACATCAGCCACGCTGGGGCCACTGGAGCTCAGGGGAAGAGGAGGAGAGAATTAAAGAGTTCATGAAGGCAGGAGAAACCATGATGAGAGAAAGAAAAAACTGCTCGGAGCGTTTCTGGTCACGGCTGCTTTAAGGCTCGAGCTGATGAATACATGGAGCAGGAGCCAGCAGAATCCACAGCTGTGCCCTTCAGATGGAGTTACTTGGAGGCGGCAGGGGAGAAGAGGGCTTTGGCAGTGCCCAGGCCAGCGAGACCACAAATAGGGTTCCCATGGACCCATGCAGAAGTGAGGAGCCAGAACAACTGAAAAAAGGGAGCCATTCAGGGGCCGGTGAGTCATTGCAAGGGACCAGCACAGGGCCCGTCCCATGAGAATTGTTTGGAGCATGGGCAGTGGGGGAGATGGGCCCACCGGGAGAACACTGGGACACAGCAAGGACAGCTGACCCGTCCCCCAATCAGAACAGGACCACTCAGAAGAGACTGGTTGGGAATGCAGAATTGCATGGGGTGCAGTTTAGTGAAAAAACTCAGGCCTAGATCAGAGATAATACACAACCCAAATCCGCCGGGTCTCTGGCGAGCCAGAAGTACCTATAGGATCAACCATTAAACCCTGAGCTGCACAAAAAGCCTTCCCTAGGGAAACAGCAGCAAAGCAGCAAGTTAGCTCAACCTTACAGCTCAAGTACTGGTTCCCACAGGAAGTTCCCCCATGTTAGAAGTAAGCAAAGGACGAAAAATTAGTTCTGGCCCAGGCATGCCACCAGCACCTTGGGGCCTGCCTGGGAACTAGAGGCTTAGAGCCAGGGAATGGACTCCACTCCCACATCCAGGCAAATCGTGCCAGCACCTCGCGGCCCTCCTGGGGACTGGAGGCATGGAGAAGGGGACTGGACCACCCTCCCACAACCAGGCATACCGTGCCAGTGCCTCGGGGCCCACCTGGGGACCCAGGGCATGGAGAAGGGAACCAGACCACCCTCCCACAATCAAGCACACCACACCAGCAACTTGGGGCCCAACCAGGGACCCAAGGCATGGAGAAGGGGACCAGTCCTTTCTCCCACAACCAAACACACTGTGCCAGCACCTCAGGGCCCATCTGGGGACTCGGAGCATGGAGAAGGGGATTAGACCTCTCTCCCATAAGAGGTACACCATGCCAGTGCCTTGGGGCCTGTCCGGGGACCTGGGGCATGGAGTTGGGGAATGGACCCTCCTCCCACAACCAGGCACACCATGCCAGCACCTTGGGGCCCATCTGGAGACCCTAGGCATGAAGAAGGTGACCGGTCCTCTCTCCCACAACAAGGCACACCACACCAGTGCCTCGGGGCTCTTCTGGGGACCCAGGGAATGGAGTCAGGGACCAGACCCTCCTCCCACAACTAGGCGCACCCGCCAGTCCCTCAGGGACCTGATCACCCTCCCACAACCAGGCACACCATGCCAGCGCCATGGGGCCCACCTGGGGACCCAGTGCATGGAGAAGGGGAGCGGGCCCCCCTCCCACAACCAGGCACACTGCCAGCACCAATGAGCATGACAAAAACGTCACCTCCATATGGGTGGCCCACCACAGCCACTACAATAACCATGGCTGCCTCCAAAGTGGCTAGATACCACAACCACCACGCAGATGGCCCACCAACCACTGAAGTGCATTCTCACAAGGAGAGTCACCAGCAGAGATAAAGAAGAGGATGTCTCTCTCCACAAAGCCCATTTCAGAGTGACAGAGGAAGCATCTGGTCTATGATAATGTTGGGAACCTGATCACACCTCTCAGTATTGGACAGATCATCTAGGCAACAAATTAACAGAGTAACCATTATTCTTTCAGAAGGAGAGAAGAAATCTAGGGTAATTAGGGGGGAGAGGGGAGGAAGTGGGGGATGGTGTGAGATTGGACAAGGGGCATAAAGAATAATTATGACTTGTAACAATATATATGCTAGTAATATTGATTTGATCAACATATCTCAATGTTCAACCCAAAAAATATGTATAGTTGTTTTTGATTCAATAAATAAAATAAATTTTACAAAAAATTAACATAGTTACCTTAAATGTAATACAATGTAGAAACAAAGAAAAAGTAATTTATTTTAAAAAAAATAGTATGTATTTAAAATGCAAATGTATGGACATGATTATACCTGAAGCAATAACAAAGTAGATGTTTGCACTGATGTATAATCAGTGTTTGAATCAAGGAGGAATAAGAGGGTCAGAAGTCCAGGAACATCAAATGGAAGAGGTGTAGGTGGACAGTAGAATGAAAACTAGTGTTGAGTCAAATGAAGAAAGACCAGACAGAGAAGAAGGAAATAACCTTAACTGAAGTAGGGCTAAGACGCTGTAGATTGAATTACATCCCCCCAAAAGACATGCTGAAGTCCTAACCCCAGGTACCTGTGATTGTGAACTGATTTGGAAATAGGTTCTTTGTAGATGTAATCAAGTAAAGATGAGGTCATGCTGGATCAGGATGGGCCCTAAATCTAAAAACTGTTGTCCCTGTAAGATGGCTTTGTGAAGACCAAGAGACACACAGGGAGAATGCCATGTGATGACGGAGGCAGAGATTTGTGTGATGTGTCTGCAAGCCAAGGAACACCAAGGATTGCTGACAACCACCAGAATCTGGGAGAGAAGCAGGGAAAATCCCCACCTAGTGCTTCCAGAGGGAGCCCGACCTGCTGATACCTTGACTTTGGATTTCTAGCCTCCAGAACCATGAGAGAGTGGAATCCTGTGGTTTTAAGCCATTGAGTTTGTGATACTTTATTACAAGAGTCCTAGGAAACCAATATAGATTTCAAGGCAAATTACGGTACATTGATAAAGGGGAGAAAATAAGGAGGTATGATATTTAAATGAGATGGGCTTTTTAGGCTCAAAATAATTCTCTGCAGTTTGGGATAGGGGAGTGATGAGGTAAAGAGAAATTATATCTTCTGTTTTGAAACCCCCCTCCTTGTCAAAATAAACATTCAGTCAGTAAAAATGGTACCGTATCCTTTTTCAGGCAGTGGGAAAAAGAAAATGAAAGAGAAAATCAAGAGGTTAATAGAGAAAGTCATGTGGTACCCCTTTGGGGATGGTGTCAGACAAAAATATAAAACCACAGGCAACCCCCAAAATAAATAATTTCAGTGTATAATTTTTCCAACCTGGATATCTTATCATTGCTAGCTTTGAAATATTTTTAAACAATATTTATTATTAAAATTCAGTGAGATCTCTGCATTTACATTCCATTCCAAGTTTAAAGGAGTCTCAAAACTCCTCCATTATGGGGGCCAGCCCGGTGGCGCACTGGATAGTGGGCCGCTTGGGAAGCGCGGCGGCGCTCCCGCCCGAGGGTTCGGATCCCACATACAGACCGGTTCCCGCTCACTGGCTGAGCGAGGCGTGGGAGCAACACCGAGGGTTGCAATCCCGTTGCCGGTCCCCGGTCCGGTACGGGGGCAACACTGAGGGTTGCAATCCGTTGCCGGACACGGAAAAAAAAAAAAAGACAAAAAAAAAAAACTCCTCCATTATGTATTTGTAATCAGTTTGAGTGCATTTGCAGTAACTGCAATATTGTATTGAAATGCTCTTCAGCCAAATGCATAGTAGAAAATGCTATGGAACAGTGAGTAGAATAGTCCAAGTGAGTCAGCTTTTATGACAATGTCTTTATTCCAGGTCAGTTTCCTACTGTAATGTTCTTAAATTATTGTTTTTTTCAGTATCATTCTGTAAAAACTCTTCAGGATTCTTATACTTAAGTGCAGCTGATTTATATTACTTATAGGTTGGCTCAGCAGGACACGTGAATGTCTGCAGAATGTGGGACAATTCTTTGTAGTGTGGGACTGTCCCATGCATTACAGTATGTCTGGCATCTCTGGCTTCATCCTCTGAATGGCACTGGCATGAGGTGGGGCTGGGCATCACTGTTATAACCAAAAAGGTTCCCACAAATTTACAGAATGCCCTGAGGGGTTGGTACCACTGGTCTGTGCTGTGGTATTCAACACCATTCACAACTGGACCTCTTATCCTTACCCCAGGGAAATCTAAGAGACCATTTTTTTTTTGCCTTTTTTTAGACATCAGTGAAGACTGAGGAAGAAGCATCCCAGGGCCTTGCCCCAGAGGAGTGGCCACATCTGAGTCTGGCTCAGAGGAACCCCTGCGAGAACTCAGCTCAGGAGAAGGTTACAGGCCTCAGTCTGATGAGTAAGGACAGGCCTCCGGTTGGCCCCCTGTCTGTGCGCTCCTTTTCCCATCACTGACCCTGACTTTTGACTTGGGAACTCATGTTCCCTACAGACCCTCTCCCTCTCTTCTCCTTCTGGCCTCTCACTCCAGATTCCTCTCAGCCTTTGTTATTTTGCATCCTTCCCAGTCACGTTATCCTCTGTTGCTAATCACCCAGCTCATTGATTCTTACTGTTATCTTCTCTGATCATCCCTCCCTATTCCCTGATTCCCTCAGCAACTCCTCCTTTGCTCCCCTTTTTCTTCCCTATCAACGATTTCATATGACTTGTCATTTCAGGTATCCCTTCATACTTGGAAGCCCCATGAATGCCTTTGCCTGATCTTCTTTACCTCAGAGGATATTGTCTTCACTCTCTGAGAACACTACTGTCCGTGTTGAATCTTCTGTAAATGTGCTCTGCCCTGTTGGGCCCTCTCTGCAGCTGAGCTCTGGTGCCCTAGTTGACCTTCCTTCTTATCTTCCCATACTTTGCCTCATTTTATAGGACTGCTCAATCTGCACCCAAGATACCTGTTGATTTTTTGTTTGTTTTAATTTGGAGCATCAATTCCCTACCCTGGAGGTTGTTTTCTCTAAATTCATAGAACAGATGACATTTAAATTATTAATGTATTATTTTAGCTGAAGAATGTGTAACTGAAGATGAATTGTTTAATACAAAGCAAGAAACTTCTGAAGAAATGGAACAAGGTGGGGAGGCCTCAGGAATACCCAACAGGTGAGTGTCCATGGTCCTGAGTGGGTCAAATCCTGCAGATACAAGAAGAAATTAGAGTGGAACCAGAGAAATCAGTTGGTCAAAAGTTGCTTTCCTGGAATAATACAGGACAAGTGCCACTCTCACTTCTGGGATCATAGGAGGCCCTGTGCCAACAAGGTGACTTGTCAATATTCAGTAATTATACAGAACCTTCATCTGGCACACAGTTGCTTCCATGAATCCCGACCCAGTTTACCCTGCTTGATCACTCTTCCCTGGGCTCCACTATGTTTCTATGGAGCTGTAGATAGAGAAGACAGAAGGCAGAGAATTTAGATGAGAGTGAGGGCTGCAGATGAGGCTGCCATGATGGTTAAGAAAGAAATATCATCATAGCTGGACGAGGACTTAGGAAAGATAAGTACGGTATCCTCAGCCTCCATTAAGAGATGGGACCAAGGAATAGATCAGAAGGAAAGTAACTGATAAGGAAGGAGAAATTACTGATAGTAGCAGTTGTTTCATACATGTTGGTTGTGGGAATGAATTAATGTGTAACATAGATACAGAAAGAATTAATGTGTAACATAGATACAGAAAGCAGAAAGGGAGGGACAAGGGGCCGGCCCGTGGCTCACTTGGGAGAGTGTGGTGCTGATAACAAGTCAAGGGTTAAGATCCCCTGACCGGTCATCTTTAAAAAAAAAAAAAAGAAAGAAAGAAAGAAAGGGAGGGACAAGCAGGGGGTTGGCTTCTGGTGAGACCATTAACTCCTCAGAGAATTGAGAAAAGAAGAAAAAGGAAACAAGTAGGATATTTAGGAGCCAGGCAGGAGTTGAGGATTCTCCTTATTGACACTTGTTCATCTTAGAAAAATCGAGCGAAATCTCAGTTAAAATAGAAATGTCTTGAAGCCTAAGAAGAGAAATGACGTTTTTCCTGAAGCTAGTGAGGCCTGAGCCACGCTCCACTAAAGGAAGAGTAATAACGTTCTGTAACTTCGCTCGGAGTTGTACCTGGGGAATAGGAAGGAGTCTGCAGTTGTGCCTGCTGGATGCATTCAACCTCAGGTGACTGAAACCATGACTCACGGTGCCTATAAGAATAAAGACATCTTATTGTTTCTCATAACAAATATTCTGAAGGCAGGCTGTTCCAGGATTGGTGCACCAGCTTAACCGCGATGCCAAAGATCCAGACCCTCCATCTCTAGTCCCACTTCCTTACCGCACTCTTTTCTCCACTTCCTTACCGCACTCTTTTTTCCACTTCCTTACCGCACTCTTTTTTCCACTTCCTTACCGCACTCTTTTTTCCACTTCCTTACCGCACTCTTTTTTCCACTTCCTTACCGCACTCTTTTTTCCACTTCCTTACCGCACTCTTTTTTCCACTTCCTTACCGCACTCTTTTTTCCACTTCCTTACCGCACTCTTTTTTCCACTTCCTTACCGCACTCTTTTTTCCACTTCCTTACCGCACTCTTTTTTCCACTTCCTTACCGCACTCTTTTTTCCACTTCCTTACCGCACTCTTTTTCCCACTTCCCACTCCTATCTCCTTCCGCACCGTATTGGGGTGGATGCACTGTAGCTCTGGGAACTTAGATTTCAGCAGTGGGAAAGCTCAGTGTCATGACAGGATTCAAGGAGTGTCCCTGAAGTTGAGAATGTCAGGGAACTCTAAGATGGATATGTGGTTTTTGTGGTTTTTTTAAATTGAAACACAATTGATGATACGTATTTTTGAGGTACAGAGTTAACTGTCAATATATCGTGCACAATATGTGATGATCAAATCAGGATAATTAGCGTATTCCTCGTTACAAAACGTATGATTTTTTTGTGTCTGTTAACCAATTTCTCACTAGTCCTCTTCTCCCTCCCCCTGTCCCTAAATGGATGCATTGAATGGGTCATACATGTAGACTCTGAAGACACGGGATGATAAATGCTTTATGTAAATAAATATATGTAGTGTATTATATGAAGATTCACTCTTTTAACTGCTTTTTTAACCTATGTCTTCTAAAACTAGACTAGTTTACCGATAGGACACTAGTAAATAAAATGCAAATATCTAAAATTTAAAAAGAAGTTTGTATAAAATAATACTTTTCTTCTTTGTAACTTTAGCTTACTTCCTTGAAAACCTCATAAAAACAGTTGAAGTGCAATGAGTTTGGGTTTCTTTTGGTGTTTTTCCTCAAAACAGTATGTCCACCAGATGAATGTAGAACTGGGAAAGGCTAAGTCCTTCCATGTTCAGAAATTCTGTGAGAGGGGTGAGGAGGCTCAGTGAATAATGACCTCCTTTCTTGTCCAAGATCAGAACCAATTGACAGGGACACAGGAGTAAAACAGATGGTTCTGGAAACCTCACCTTCATTACTGGCAGAAGCTAGACTGGATAAAGCGGCTCCGAGGCAGAGCCAAGTGGGCCATGCGGGCAGAGGAGGATCTCAGCGGCTGTCCGCCTGCACAGGAGCGTGGATGTCTGCAGCCTGCTCCTGAAGACGGCAGACGGAAGGGCTGTGCTACGGAGGCCCAGTTTCTCCTCCCAGATGCAACCATCAGTTATGTTGTGAAGTGTGAGTGAGAGGTGGGGAAAGGCCAGAAGTGTTAAGTCTAGCCGAAATCCTCCCCGTGGACACATGGAGTGAGAAATACATAATCCCCACCCATAAGATTTAGGCTTCAGTGTATTTGCTGTGTATGAGAGAATATGATGGAGGATTTTTATAGCGTGTGTTCTCTTTTCTTTCCAGAGACAGTATACCCCAGATCCCTTGTAGTACTCCTGTCTCTACTGAAAGGACAGTTGTGCATTTGAACACTCTGAAGGACCGTCACCCAGGTGACTTGTGGGCCCGGATGCACATCTCATCCTTAGAATATGCTGCAGGCGACATTACCCGAAAAGGGAGAAAAAAAGACAAAGCTCGGGTGACTGAACTGCTCCAAGGCCTTGCATTTTCTGGTGATTCGGATACGGAAGAAGACAATGAGCCTGAGAGCCAGCCTGCTCAGAAGAAGCTAAAGGTATCAAGTGTACCTGGGAAGAAATGGACCAAAAGAGACATTAAACCTGACTTTCCTAGCTGGTCAGTACTGGATTCTGGACTTTTGAACCTCAAGAGTGAAAAGTTGAACCCGGTAGAGCTCTTTGAATTGTTTTTTGATGATGAAACATTCAACTTGATTGTCAATGAAACCAATAATTATGCTTCTCAGAAAAATGTCAGCTTGGAAGTCACAGTTCAGGAAATGAGGTGTATATTTGGTATCCTGCTTTTGAGTGGATTTGTAAGGCATCCCAGAAGGGGAATGTATTGGGAAACCTCTGATGCCGATCAGAACCTGGTTAGAAATGCAATTAGAAGGGACAGATTTGAATTGATTTTCTCATACCTACATTTTGCAGATAATAGCCACCTAGATCAAAAAGATAAGTTTACAAAATTGAGGCCTCTCATAAAGCAAATGAATAAAAATTTCCTCTTGTATGCTCCCCTAGAAGAATACTATTGCTTTGATAAGTCAATGTGTGAATGTTTTGATAGTGACCAATTCCTGAATGGAAAGCCTATTAGAATTGGCTATAAAATTTGGTGTGGTACAACCACACGGGGTTATCTGGTTTGGTTTGAGCCCTATCAAGAAGAAGCAACTATAAAGGCAGATAAGGATCTTGACCTTGGGTTAGGTGGAAATCTAGTGATGAACTTTGCTGATGTTCTTTTAGAGAGAGGTCAGTATCCCTATCACCTGTGTTTTGATAGTTTCTTTACAAGTGTCAAATTGATGTCAGCTTTGAAGAAGAAGGGGGTGAGGGCAACAGGAACAATTTGTGAGAACAGGACTGAAAAATGTCCACTTATGAATGCAGAACATATGGAAAAAATGAAGAGGGGGTATTTTGATTTCCGAGTGGAAGAAAATGATGAGATAATTTTGTGTTGTTGGCATGGTGATGGCATTATCAGTCTGTGTTCCAACGCTGTAGGCATAGAACCAGTCAATAAGATAAATTGTTTTGCTGCTGATGAAGAGATCTCTCAGATAAGTCAACCATCCATAGTGAAATTGTATGATGAATGCAGGAAAGGTGTAGCTAAAATGGATCAAATTATTGCCAAGTACAAGGTGAGGATAAGAAGCAAGAAATGGTACTCAAGTCTGGTGAGCTACATGATCGATGTAGCCATGAACAATGCGTGGCAACTGCATAGAGCCTGTAACCCGGGTGCCTCTCTAGACCTCTTAGATTTTCGGAAATGTGTGGCTCATTTCTACTTGGAACATAATGCTAATCTGTCAGATTAAGGCAGAGAAAACAGACACAGTGTAGACATTCACAAGACAGAAAATTATAACTAAATGTAGGTTGTACCCTCCCAAAGCAAATTTGATATATGTAATGAAATTAAGTTATTAAGTAATATTTTAAAAATCAGACATTTATATAGAGTTGCAAAGAATATTATAACTAGTAATGTTTAAAAATTATCTGTGAAAATGTTGAACTCCAGTGGTACCTTTCTCTATGTCTAATTTTATGTCAGACATGGGAAATCATTTATTTGTTGATTATTTTGTGCATTTAAAGAATGAAATCCTGCTTCTTTTTAAAAAAATTTTTTTTCTAGAGAATGCCATTTAAAAATGCAGGCAATGTCACAGCAACTATAGAATGGCACTGAATCCATAGTCCAAATTCAAGACAGAGCCTATGAAGTAAGACTGATTTAAACAAAACCTGGGTGGTAATAGGCTAAAAACCTCAGCATTGGTGTCAAACTGGTGGGTCAGATTGTGTATAGGTAAGAAAGGCCAGGCAGGGATATTGAAGAAGGAAGGTACTGTAAAGGGAAAACCAGAGACGAAGCAAGCACTGCTTTTGAATATTGAAATGAAAGGTGTCCTATTCTGACTGTGTGAGTTGGCAGCAAAAGTCAAAAGAGTAAAGAAAATGGAGAAAACATGAAGCAAATCAGAGTAACAGTAGTAACAGTGACTCTATTGTTGACAGTAAAGTACAGGATAACAGTAGAGTTAAGAGGACATGAAGCCCATGTTGAAATCACCTAAGGAGATAAGTGAGTGTCTAGGATTAAGGTCATCAGTGATAGATAACACAAGAAGAAATACTAGATTAAGTCATTAAGTTTTCCTCATTTTTTTTTATACTCGTTCTGTAGATGAGAAAACAGGCGTAGTGGTTAAGTAGCATTTTCAAATTCACATAGGTAGGAGGTGGTGCAGCCCTTGGCGCCAATATTGAGAATCAACTTGTTTTATGTTTTTTGTTTCTAGTTTGTCTTTTGTTGTGTTGTTGTTTTCGTACTTTTCTATATAAAACCCCAAAAAGTCACATTGCAGGAATGGTCAACACCTTTGTAATTGCAAAGGGCTATAGCTTAGCAAAGGACATTCCTAGGGTTCCTGTAGATCTATGCCAAAAGAATGATCACTTTGTCTACCCTGCCCTGCCATTGTACTGAACACCTATGGTATTTCTGTGCACACCACGTTTATGGTGCTCCTCAAATACTGCTGTTCTACACAGTAGTTATTTTTGCTCAGGGTATGTTCCTTACTAGACAATAGAATTCCAGAGAATCTCTTTTGCAATAACTTTTTGCAACTAAAACTGGACCTGAAATGATTTGCTATACTACATGGGATTCTTAGAATACATTGCAACTTGATGGGAAAATTTAGCTATCCAAATACATAGCTTTATCTTTAAAGTGTACTTTAGAACAGTGGAATATGATCGTAACCTCGGTGGAAAAAATACGGAATAATTTGCAGTGAGAAATGATGAAGACAAGTGATGACTTTAAAACTTCACTAAGTATTCATATATGCATGTATTGCAAGAATATGCTGTACCCCACAAATATGTATGTTAAAATTAAAAGAATTTTTAAAAATGTTTTAAAACTTTATTAGGTATTCAGAAGAAGCACTCTCAAAAGAAAAAAGAAAACTTTATTAGGTAAATTTATACATTAGAAGAGGCCCCAACACCCTTTAGTAATCTGGCTGGCTCCAAGGAACTGTTCTGAGTTACCATAGATTTTGCAAGTCAAGACACACATATTTTGATCAAGTGTTTGTGTTCCTCACATTAAGGGATCTAATTAGGAATTATGATTATCAATAACTGGATACAAAATTAACATCAGTCTGGTTTGCCCTTGTGCCTAAATATTTTGAAATAAGACCCAAGCTCAGACTGAACCTTGTCCTCATTTTATACTGTAAAGTTCTTTCTTTACTGTGGTTTCACTCCCCTGCATTCAGGGCAAATCCCAAGTGAATATGGAACTTCTTGCCTACAGTTTTTGATGTTGGAAGTCAGAGTTCAGAAAGAAGACAGTGTCAAATTCAACTATCTGCTAAAGTTTCCCTCCAGGATATATTTACCAAAGTACCCAGGTTAACTAAATCTCTGGCTATGCCGTGTATAAGTAGAATTTGTATTCCAAAGTAAGGCCTGAGTCAGTGTCAGTGCAGCCTCAAGGTCTGTTTTATTTATCATGTGATATTCAACACCTGTATGACGCACAGCCGGTTTAGTACCGGTTTTGACTACTGCTAGCAGTAAAATGCAGGTTCTGATAGAAGACGTAATTTGTTCTCAGTGTAGTAGGATGCCCTCCTGGTATGAGAATTAAGCGCTCACTTCTTTCACTCTCATCCATGATTCATCTACACTTATTCATGCTCTGCCTGAACGCTTTCCATCACACTACCAATGAGGTTTTTTCCCTTGACTCTTTGGATGGGTTTTCTTATGCTTAGGAAGTGCTGGGCTCTGACCGAAGGCATTTCCGCACCCCTCACACTGACAGGGCCTCTCCCCCACGCGGACCCTCTGGCGTTGGACGCGGTCGGAACCCCAGTTCAACGTTTCGCCGCACTCTTAAGGCCTGTGTCTGTACGCGCCGGTGCTGGACGAGTTTGCAGCTCTTGATGAAGTGCTTGCTGCAGTCCTCGCACGCGGGCGGCCTGCTCTCAGTGCGGACACAAGGGGGAAGGAC